AAAGCTTTCAAAGTATGCTCCTCAAACAAATGTCCTAGCTGTTTTGGAAAGAAACCTCTGTCAGAGCAAAGTAGTTAGTTATTAAGCCAATGCTCCCTGAGCTACATTAGCTCCCAACAAACTTTAGGCATTAGCAGAAAGCAAGGTTTTACTTTTAACCCACAAAAATCAGAATGATTTGGAATCAGAGGGCATTGTCCAGATAAGCATGGATGTTTGTTTCCTTGGGGACAAGTACTTGTCCCCAAGGAATGCCCTTGCCATGTGAACTCTGGCGTATGGCTAGTTACTCTGGATGGGATAGAGGATGCTGGGGCCAACAACTGTGTTAGCCCTGGCAGCCTGTCCTTGGAGCCTAAGCAGGAAGCTTGGCCGGCAGCTGGAGTGTGGCTCCTGTTGGTCAGGCTCCGATTTTGGGTGGCATGTGCTATTGTCACATATGCCACCCTACTTTTTTTTCAGTGAGAATTTTTTACAAGTTAACAGCATGGGGAATGCTTGCATGTGCAGTGTGTGACACTGCAGCAGGTCTGCAGTGCCACATACTGCATCTCCATGATCATCTGGGTGTGACCAGATTGTTCAAGGTTGTCCCTTCCCTGGTGACACGCTGCCATGTGGGAGAAGCAGGGTGATTTGAGTTGGGGCCTCCTGAGCAAGAGGAAACTTGTTGGCAGGACATTCTCTACGAGTGACCTTCAGTTCTGGAGGCCACTCATTCCACTCTTTACCCTGCCTCCTGTCAAAGCCAAGGTTTATCACCAGTTTCTCACATGCCACATAACCCCCAATAAAGACATCTGGGTTTTTGGGAAGGCAAAATGAAGAAAAAAAATGTTTTTCCATTATGGCTGAACAAAGCCCAATCTTCAGCTCACTCACCCTCCCCTTCATGCTTAATCAAGAGCTGCAATGGTAGCTAGGTGCTTCTCAACCTTCTAAAACTCATCCCTCCATAACTTTTCTGAATTTGGCTGTACCCCAGTTGAGACCTCCTATTCCAGCGCCATGTTATTTCTGCCCGCTGGGCAAATAGTTGGGTGTGCAGGGTGTAGTGCTGAGAGCAGGAGAGGTGGTGAGGTGGGCAGAACATTACCTGTCACAGTGTGGGCTCAGAGTGGAGACCTGGGGCAGAGACCCCTCACCAGGGCTCACTCACTCCACTGAACTTCTTGCAGGTTCTGGTAATCTATATAAAGACTGTGGTTGTAAAAGCATTGTCTGTGAAGGGTTAACAAAGTACTTGTTGCCACACAGTGAGGATTGGGGAGAAGTCAGACTGAGAGGGGAATCCTGTCTTTGGCTCATCTGTCCAGCAGAAGAGAACAGCCACTGGGTGAACTCATACTGAGCATAAACCCCTGTTCTCACTCTGGCACCCCCACCCACCTGCATTTCAGTGCCCTCCCCATAATCATCACCCAGGGCTTGTGCTCCAGTTGTGGCCAGGAAGAACAAAACCCAAAGTCTCTATTTCCAGGATGGGGCATGCTGAGAGGGGCTCCTGCTTCATCTGCTACCCAGTCCATCTGGCATCCTGCCCCAGAAACAAAGGCATGCTAGACAGTTGAACCTGACTGCAGCGGTAGACAGTTCCACCTGGCATTCTAGGATGCCATGGCACCCTGGTTGAGAACCAATGCCTTAGCTGCTGCTTAGGACTGGTTTCCGTAGGTGGATCTACCAATTTGAAAAGTACTAAGAACATTCTGCTAGGCTATGAAATAGGAGGAGAGCCCAGAAACACCTAAAAGACAGCAAAATTGCCAGAGGAAAGGTAGCTTGATAAGTGGAACATCAAGGCTATTAAAGGTTGACGGAAGGCAAATTGTCATGGTGCCCTGTGACCAGTGGGGTCCCCCAAGGCTCTGTCCTTGGACCCATATTGTTCAACATCTTCATTAATGATGTGGACATAAGAGTCAGAAGTAGACTGACCAAGTTCACTGATGATACCAAACTCTGGGGTAAAGCATCCACACCTGAGGGCAGGAAGGCGATTCAGGCTGACCTTGACAGGCTCAAGAAATGGGCGGATGAGATCCTGATGGTGTTTAACACTGAAAAATGCAAGGTTCTCCACCTTGGGAGGTAAAACCTGCAGCATCCTTATAGGCTCGGCAGTGCTATACTGGTTAGTACTATGGATGAAAGGGACTTGGGGGTCAAGACTGACCACAAGATGAACATGAGCCTTCAATGTGATGCTGCAGCTAGTAAAGTGAGCAAAATGCTGGCTTGCATCCATAGATGCTTCTCAAGCAAATCCTGGGACATCATTCTCCCGTTGTACTCATCCTTGGTGAGGCTGTAGCTGGAGTTCTGCGTCCAGTTTTGGGCTCCACAACTCAAAAAGAATGTGGAGAAGCTTGACAGAGTGCAGAGAAGAGCCATGCACATGATCAGAGGTCAGGGAAACAGACCTTATGACGCCAGGCTGAGAGCTATGGGACTCTTCATCCTGGAAAAGTGCAGGCTCACGGGTGATCTGGTGGTCACCTATAAGTTTATCAGGGGTGTTCACCAGGATCTGGGGGGACATCTGTTCACCAGAGCAACCCAAGCGATGATGAGATCAAATGGTCACAAACTCCGCTGTGACTGATTCAGGCTGGACATAAGGAAGAACTTTTTTACTGTCTGAGCCCCCAAGGTTTGGAATAGACTGCCACCAGAGGTGGTTCAAGAACCCACTTTGCATGCCTTCAAGACACATTTGGATGTTTATCTTGCTGGGATCCTATGATCCCTGCTGACTTCCTGCTCCTGGGGCAGGGGGCTGGACTCGATGATCCTTCGGGGTTCCTTCTAGCCCAAATGTCTATGAAATCTATGGAAGAGAAATGATCATCAACAAGTGTGGAGTGAAGTACAAAGAGCCATTAGTCAGTTGACTCCCTATAGTCAACTGACTGCCTGAATAGGAATGCAACAGCTGTTGTGAGCAGAAATCAAAGTGGGGCACTTCTACTCTGGGCAGGAAATTAGATTCCCTACTTACAATGTGAACCATGTGGTATGCAAGTAAATATGCTATATTTCTTTGCGTATAGCAAAGATCCATTTTTATTTTATGTTTTTCCTTTCCTCGGGCTTTTACAGTTGACTTAGGCTGGCATTTGGACAGTCCTTTTCTGTTACATTGCGTATCCCACTTGTGTGAACAAACAGTATAGGATGGGTGCCCTTAGTTATACTCTAAAGAAGTGGTTCCCAACCTTTTTTTTTTTTCTGTGACCCACTTGTTAACGAGTTAATTAGCAAGGATTAACACCTACAAAACCACAGACTAAGGAGAGGAAAAAATCAATACAATCAACTGCCCCAAAAAAGAGACAGTCAGTTGCACAAGCACCCATGTCACGAGTTTTGCTTGTCAGCAGCTAGAGGTGCAGGGCCCCAGAACCCCTGCACCTATCTCCTTGACAGCTGGCAGGCTTCATAGCTGCAGCAGGGGCTAGCAGGCCTGCAACTTTCACCCTGCTGCACCTTAACACGCACACTGTCACCCATGTCACTAGTTTTGCTTGTCAGCAGCTTGAGGTGCAGTTCCCCCCAAACCCCTGCACCTATCTTCTTGAAACTTGGCAAGCTTCATGGCCTGAGCAGGGGCTACCACCCCTGCAGTTTTCAGCCCACTGCGCCTTAACACACACAGGGTCATCTATGTAACAAGTTTTGTCTGTCAGCAGCTTGAGGTGCAGTTTCCCCCAAGCCCCTACACCTTTCAACTTGAAACTTGGCAGGCTTTGTGGCCTCACCAGGGGCCACCACCCCTGCAGTTTTCACCTCCATCTTGTAACATATACATGTGACATGAGTTTTGCTTTCACAAATTTGGGGTGCAGTTGCCCCCAAGCCCCTCCACCAATCTTCTTGAAACTTGGCAGGCTTCATGCTCTCAGCAGAGGCTACCACCTCTGCAAATTTCATCCAAATCAGACAAAAAACAAAGTTACAGATATTTCATTGATTCCCCATTATACCCTATGGTACAATGAGGTGGCTCCGAAGCTTCAAAGCCGCTTTGGCCGGATCAAAGCAGGAAACTGATCCGGAGTTCCGGATCGGATTGCTGGCATCCAAAGTGGCTGGATCCAAAGCCGGATCGAATACCTGCCTGCTCGCACAGACCTACTTGTTACCCAAAATCACCCAAAGGATTCCATCTCCATTTGTATTTCATGTACTAATTCCTCATTCTTTTCATCTTCCCCTCCACCCCTTTCTGACCTTCCACTGAACCCTGCTGCTCTGATAGCTTCTAAGTCTCACCATTGACTTAAACTTAGCCAGTGGGATTTTCAAAGGAGCTCAGATGACATAGGAACCTGTTTTTTTTTCAAAATTAAGCCCCCACCCTGGTCACAATTTTTAATGTAACTCAAGCACTTGTGTTGTTTGTGGAACCTTTTACTTTCTTTGTACAACCCATTTCTGTCCAAATCTTGGTGCTTCCCCCAAACAATAAGAGCCACCTTCATCTTGCTGTTCAGACAACCAACAAGCATGGTCTCTCATCACCTCCTATTTTGATTATCATAACCTTCCCTTCAATACCATCCAGGTCAGGTCTGTAACAGATTGTTCCTAAAATTGCTGTTCCAATCCCATTTCCCCCTTAACATTAAAAAACAATCAATCCTTCCAGTGGCTCTCAGTACTTCACCATATTAAGCTTGTTGCCCTTACCCTATGACACTCGCAGATCCACACCTCCAAATTTGTTGACTCCTGCATTTTATTGCATCTGTCCCTCACTCCCAGATTCACTGTTTTACTTCTTAGCTACACAGAAACGTCTTAATGCATCCCTCCACATGGGTCATTATGTAGGCTTACCTTTGTAAGCTACTAGTCTTAATACCTTGTAAAGGAAGTTGTAGAAGTATATTTGAGAGAAAAAGCTTTGTTCTACAAAGTAGGGCACTATAAACATTTCTTGATACAGTTTGGACTGTTTCTGATGAAAAAAAAATTTCCACTCTACACATCATGGTATAAATATGTATTTATTTCATTATCTTTAATCAACTTTACAGTGTCTCCTGAAACAATGATCCTGGTGTTAATATCTGTCATAAACATACAACTAAACTTTGTCTACTTATATTTTATTTTATGAATCTGAAGTTAAATACAAATCCATGGGCTTTTCCATATGAAATTAAGCCAAAGAACAATTGTAACCTAATATATTATAATGTATTAAAGATGAATGTAAGATTTTAAAATCAGGGTCTTGTGTTCTCCTGTGTATATTTACATATTTGATTAATTTAATATTTACACTTCTATGCAAATACTATAATCATAAATCTGTTTTTCTATTTTGTACACTTTTATTTTCATTTTTGTTACATAACATTATTTAACACACTGCATTTTAGATAAAACAAACTTCAGTATTTTCATACCAATTCTATGAAATTACAGATTGGACTCACTAATGATGTGTCAAGATGCTTCCTGTTTGTTTAAAAATACTGATCCATAAGAAAATACATACTATTTTCATAATATTTTTATTCTTAATTGTGAAAAAATAAGTCTATGGATGTAAAATGACAGTTATTTTCTCTTTATATGTAATGTTTTGGTTTAAATGGCATTTTACCTGAGATGCATAACTATTAAAATGCAACGATAATTAACTTTATACAATTAAAAGTTAAACGTTAAATTTTAGAGGATTGGGAAATTTCACACAAAAATACACTGGACTCCTATTTACTGAAAAATATCCTATATATATAACTATATATAATCAGTACATTAGGAAACTCCTCATATATTTAAAGCAATGTACTAATTTTTTTTTTCATTTTTGACATGGACACAACATGTCTCTTTTGGGACCATGATAGCACTTCCTTTAATTGGAAGTGATATGTATTATTTGAATTTGGAAGACGTGGCAGTCAAGCCAAGTGGGCGTTCTGAAAAAAAATTAAAAATATATATGCAGCCTCATAAATGTTACATAGTAGCATCTGACACAGCAGACCACTTCGGATCAACTTTACATATTACCTCGTCTCCATAAAATAGTTAATTACAAAACAAGACAAAACATTATATGTTTAATGCTGCATGTTCTTTGTCTCCTTTGTTAGTTACAATACGCATTTCTATTAACAGATATTTTTATAGATACTTATATTTAACTATAGCAAATGGTCACATATATTTCAGGCTTCACGTATTTTGTTACTATCAGATATTCCATTAGGCACAATAAGAAGTTATTTGTAAACTTAATGAGAAACCATGAAACATCAAATCATTAATTAAAGTTAAAGTTAAACTAAGATTTTGGTACTACATTTAAGATGTTCTTATCCACTATGTACTGCACGCACACAGTGACCCAAGTAGTTTGAGCCTGCTTCTGCTGAATCGAACAATTCCACTGATTTCAATGAAATACAACTATACCTTGGAAAACAAACCTTCTGGTTTAGGAATTGTTCAGGTTAGTTTCCTCCCATCCATCCGCAGTTCCATGACATTTAAAAATGACAAACCCTAAATAACAGCACAAATTGGTATGAATTATTGTTATTTTATTTATCTTGATATACCTATTAGTCAAGAACCAAGGACCTCCAAAAGAAATCAAACCAAAATGGGTGGGTAAATATTTTGCAAGGCTTGTGAATAACCTTCTATCATAATATCTTAACATAAATCCTCTCGAAGACATAAAACAAAAAGCGTAGTACTACTTTCTATACTTATGATACCAACACTGTATGATTCATTCTGGAAGTGTGTTAAAAAGCAGCTTTGACCTCCTAGTATATTGGCTCTTGCAAATCACTACTTCAGGAACCTATAAATAAGGTAGGCACAAAATCAAAATGAGTTCATATACACACAAAAAATCATGGCAGAATTCTTATCCTTTAGCATGTTCTGAAAATAATTATTCCACTTATAGTAAATTAAGGGAGTAAAAACAATTAAAAAAACCCCACTAACTGAATTCTAGGAAGTGATAGGGGATTTTTTATTTCTCCAGTGATGCAAGAGGTGTTTCGGGCATACAACTATCATTAAAGTTAACAGGAACTTTCTTCTCACTTCCCCTGCACAATGATTAGAAAATAGTTTACTAAAGTTATTTTACAGATGAGTAGAAGGACAGATGTATTCTCCCCCTTCCCTCCCTGCCCACCACTCCCTCCATTTTAACATGTCAGATGAAAAGAATAAGGCAAAAAATAGATTAAAACACATTTTGCTTTGTAAACTAAGCCGTAGAACAGACATTCCTTTAAAATGAACTTTCATGCTCACAAATAATTAAGCTAACTTTTTAAATTATGCATTAACTTCCCATAACAAAAGTATATCTCCTATTTATTCAGTGCATTTGAGAAATATTCCAAAATGTAATGCTTGCAAGGAGAGTTTCTTTTTGAGTTTTGGGAATGAATCCTTAAGATTCAATTAATTCTTTAGCATAGGGATTAAGGAGGGCACAAGACCTCTGTGACAACCTTTAGTGCTTGCCATATACTGTGTGGTTTTATTAGAATTTTCATAATTTGGTTCACTGTAAGAAATATAAATGTGATATCAATTTCAAAATTTAAAAAGATTGTGGGGCCTACCATCCCTAAACAGCCTTCATAATTATGATTTGCCCCCTTTTCTACTCAGATTAAACAATTTATTTTATAGACAAATATTGGCTAGTAAAGATACCAAAGACTAGTATGGGTTACATAGGAATAATTATACTATCTCACAATATTCCCCATAAGAGACTTTAAAGCTCACAGTTGCATAACAGTCACTAAACAAAAGAACATAACATATTTTCCACATTCATACAATAAATGTCTTAATTGCTAAAGAAAAAAAAGACAAAACGCTACAAAACAAATTGAACTTATTTCATTTTTGTGCATTGAGCATGGAAGTTCATTTTTCCAGTTCTATAATGCTTCGTATCCTGCTCTGTCCATTTCTTTGGTATTCCGTTCTCATTGTGTAAATTCTCAGAGAATCCTAAAGGTATCTTTTTGTTTTCAAATGCAAGTATTAGTAATTGTATGAAAGTGCAAACCAGAATAATGAAAGCCATAATACTGTGGAACAAATTGAACTTAGAGCTTCTGATTTCCTACACTCATTTTTTATAATGATTGGGGGCATCTGCAAAAGCAAACTTCAGTCTGTAGGCTTCTGCTAGAAGAACACTAATATCTTCATCTCCCCAGTGCATTGTGGGCAAATTCTGTAGAAATATCAGCAATTCCTAGAGGTGGGAAAAAAAGGAAATATGAATAAATTATTTTCCAATACAACTGTAGCATGTTGAGTTTCTTATTTATTTCCATTTGTGTGCTACCTCAAGGCCAGAGACACATCTAAGAACCCATTATGTTAAGTACTTTTCCTACAGTAGTTTAAGTTTGCAATCTAACAATCTATGATTACATTTATTTGTATTGTAGATATTCCCTACATGAAGGGTATCAAACTCATCCAAGACCCCAGGCTAGATCAGCCTGTGGGGTTTAGCAGCTATGAGGCAAGTGGGGGCAAAGCAAGTGGTGGCAGCATGGAAGTTAACTCAGTCATCACTGATGCATCCTCAATGGGGTTCCATAGCTAGGAATTCTGTGGCAGGTCCTGGCCCACTCACTCAACCCCAAATTCCTGGCTACCCCCAACAGCTTTGTGGGCTGGATGAAATGGCTCCATAGAATGGAACCAGCCCAAAGGCCATCTCTTTGACACCCCTGCCCTACATGGATGAGGACCCCATTGTGATATGCAAGGAAACATTATAGAACTAAATTGCTAAAGCAGCTATTTAGGAAGGGGGTATCATCATTCTTATTTTACAGACTGGAGATTTAAAACCAAACATCAGTCAGTCACTGGTAGAACTGGAAATTATATTAAATTTGGATCTCTGGAGTCCTATTCCATTGCCTTAACATATAACTATTCTCACACCCAGCTATTCTATTAGGTTACTGTAAATTTGCTGAGCTATCCACAGTTCTTAATATTTATTCAACTGTTGCAAATTTCAACTCAATTCTTTCAAATCTTTACTTCCCTTTGCTTTATAATAACACTAAACTCAACCCTTAAAATGTTATAAAACAAATACTACTCATTTTATTTTTAACTGATTTCATTTCTGTTTGCTATGTAATGCTCTATAATTATAGTAACTTACTGACAATTCTGCATACACAATTTCAGAATCTAATTTAGTAACCCAGGATGACAAGGAGAGCGAAGAAAGGTGCCCAGTTTGGAGACACTTTACATGCTGGAAATTAAAATTCTATCTAGTTGGTCTTTTCATGTTGTAAGACACACACAAGAGAAAAAGGAAAAGCTAGATTTTAAACCATCCATCAATCTGATTTATGCACTAGACAAATGAAGAACAGGCACATGTATGGGGGCAGGCAGGGAGGGCAAGAGGCAGGGATCTGGCCCCTCGCCCCATGCTGCTTTCCCCACCATAACCGGGGGTGGGATGAATTTAAGACAACTGTCCAATAATTAGATTTTATACATGGAAATGTAAAACAAATTGATTTTTCATATATAGAATATAAATATTGGGGGGGGTTCATCTTAAATTTGAAGTAATCTTGCATTCAGGTAAATATAGTATTGTGTATCAGTATTATGAGTTTATGTACTTGTTGAAAAATACAGTTGTTCTGCTCTGGGTTGAATTAGGGTTACAAAAGAAAAAGGCCTTCAGTTTAACTGGTTGAAAAAGTGGGAGGATGTGTTGTGAATAAGGTACAACTGATGATTTTAGGAGTATATGGGCCAGTTTCGCAATTAAGGTGGTTGAATTCTGGTTTATATCCCCACCTGTGCCACAGAGCTTCTTTGTGATGTTAGCAAAATCACTTTATCCAAATCACTTAAGTGGCCACTAATTGTACATTCCTCATTTCCTGAGTGCCTGACTTGAGACCCTGGGGTCTGATCTGCAGAAGTGCTGAGCACTCACAGCTGCAGACAAAATCAATAGGAATTGTACTTTGAACACAAAGTGCTATATTATAATGCTAGGCACTCTGACAAAACAGGTCTTAGGAGTCTCCAATTGGTTATTTGAAATTAGCAGATACTTTTGACCTTAATTTCTCTTTGCTTCAATCCTCCATCTGGAACGTGGTGATATCATCTCACAAGAGTGTTGTGAAAAAAAAAAGAGCAATTATGAAGCTCTTGGATAGTTAGTGATGAGCACCAGAGAAAAGCCAACAAGAAAATGAACTATGAGGAACAAGGAGGAAATGAGAGAATTCTGGCTTCAGAGTATGCTTTGAGTACGGTGTAGTAAATAAGGTGGTGTTGCGCATTCCACAATAGAGAGAAAAGACACACTGAACAACTGGTCTTTAAAATAATACCATAAATTATGGGCATTGAATGAGGAAGTTGTCCACTAGAAAAAACCACTAGTATGAGATCATATAATTGGACCCTGCAATACAAATTCAAAAGGAGTAATTCAGGATACACAACCAATATTCATTCTGGCACTTCTTAACTTTGCATGTTGGACTTCACAACGTTAACATTCTATTAAGTAAATGTTGTGTGCGCACACACGCATATACACAATCTTTTTCTGTTTCAAAATTCTTTTAATAGTGAATTAACTTCCCTCTCCACCCTCCCCGACAATTTCATCACGTGGCATCAGACTGCTACCCTCAAAGTTCATCAGCAGATTTGGAGCCTATAGATCCACCCCACAATCTTCTGCCATTTGAGTTAAAAACAGTAAGTCTTCACAATGGATCAGCACTAGAAGTGTTAAGATCCACTGCTAGTTGGTTTCAAAGCATTGGTTGAGGAATGGCGGAACCAAAGAAAATTCCAGGATGTGCTGGAGAGCACAGGAGTGAGGCTCCCTGTTGCCAAGTTCAGAGGCCCAGACCCAGATCTAGCATGGCTTGTAGCAGCCCAGAGCTACAATTGTAAGGTGAAGCCTGAGTAGGCCCATGCAAAACACACCTAAATGTGGACAGTCTGGGAAATTAGGTGTAACAAAGTCTCTACTGTGCAAATTATAACTTTTCAAAAGCTTATTAATTGGTCAAGTAAGTCTTTGATGAATTTTACAGGGATAACAAAAAGTATGTTCCTGACACAAGGGCCTCTCCCTGCCACATTTCAAGTCCCTGGGCCAAAACATGGGATGCTAGAACTCAAAGGATTGGTCACCAGAACTTCTAACATGGGCAAAATAATGCATTTTCCCTTGTTTCATTTTTGGAAATTGCTAAACAGGCCTGGATAAGACTTCTACCCCTACCCGCCCCAATTCAGCCCGAGACAGAAGTTGACATGGAAATTTCAAGCCAAAAGGTTACATTTAAAATGTACATATATATAAGTAACTGAATGTAGGATTCTATAATGCAGTGGTTCTCAGCTGGGGGGTCTGTGGCCTGAAGAAGGGGCAGGAGTGGGCCTGCCCTTCCCAGCCTCCATCTTGCAAGCAGTGCTGTGGGTAGATGGGTGACGGTCCACACTGCTGCTGCTCAGGTAAGTGGGGCCAGGCAGTAGTTGTGACACAGGTGGGTTGTGGAATTTTTAT